CAGTCAGTAAACGTTAATCGACGATTTGAATCAATGAAGCTTAATAATTGACAAGAACGTACTAATTGAAGTAACTATTTATAAATGAAGTCTAATATCTTTTTAATTCAATTTTATCATAGAGAATAATAAATTTAATTCCTAACATACGTAAGAATCAAATCGTAAGACTTGAACCGATTAAGCTCAAGTCCGATCAATTTGTAAATATGTTTCAAAGCTTTGAATCGATTAAATTCAACCATTGACAAGAACTTATTAATCGAGTTAACTATTTATAATTAAAGTCTAATATCCTTTTAATTCAATTTTAATAACAATTAAAAATAAATTTAATTCGTAAAAATTGTAAGAATCAATTTGTAAATCGTAGGATTTAATCTAACCATAGTATTTGAATCGATTAAATCTTACAATTTTAACAAATTATTTTTTATTCTTTTTATGATAAAATTCAGTGAAAAGGATACTAAACTTTAACTAAACATAGTTACTTCAATTAATACGTTATTGTAAAATGTTGAGTTTAACCGATTCAAATATTTGAATATTGCGTACGATTTGAAATGACTTGAGCTTAATTATCGTTTCAAATCTTTGAATATTGTTTTCGAATTGAAAACACATGAGCTTAATTGATTTAAATCATATGATTTAATTAAATCTTACGATTTACGATTCAATTCAAACTTAAATTCTTTCGAAATTCATTTTTAAATTATACAAGTTGAGCCGGATTTCCTTAGATTGTCGTTTATATGTGTATATTTGTATACGTGAATAATTGTCGTGTGTTCGAATATTCGTGGGTTAATCGTTTTGTGATGTCGTAAAGTGGTCATTCTTCATGTTGGAGTAACATTAGTCTCATGGTCATGCATAAAATGATTTTATTTTAAAGAAAGAAAATATTAATGGAATGCTTGGGTTGGATGAGTAGGGATACAGGGGGCCGGTATTCCAACCATAGTTACTATAGTAAACGGGGTGGTTTGATTCCACCAAACGAACGGGATCAGAATAATATGATTATCATCCAAGTAGAGAAGTTAATTTTTCACGGATCCGGACAATAGAAAATATTTTCATTCATACATTTGCACGAAAGGGTAATTTGGTAATTTTTGATATTTGAGTAAATTACGTGTTTAATTTAATTAAGTGTTTCTATGTGTCCGTTTGCCTACAAATGGTAACGTGTGATGTTTATGTGTATTTATGTATATAAGTACGTAAAACCTATTTTCAATCTTCGTTATTCATTCGCATTTCTTATTGGGCTTAATAGCTTATATAGATACTTTTTAATTGAAGGTAGTAGTAGTAACCTCGCCGGAATGGACCGAGTAGCGGATCGAAGTCTTGCCTGGAGTTTTTGACGATCGTACGAGGGGTCTATAAATTATGCTAGTGTTATTTTGGTGATGTAAACTAAAGACAATTTCATAATTTCCGTTCTTCTAGATTACCATATCTCCTCATTAAGGGAAATGAACTCTTATTTCGGTACGAGCCTGATTTGAAACTTTAATATAATTGATCCGTTTCTTCTAGTAACTATTATTCTTGCTCAAAATCTTTATTTCACCAAATATCTTTTTCCAAAACTCTGATTTTCATTCGAACCTCTTTTAAATAAAAAAAATGGCTATCTTGACAAAGTGAAGCACTCGATCACTCCCTTACGAAAATAGAATTTTCGATTTTTATGAAAGAAGATTTCGAAAAAAAGAATGATTAGTATCGATCATTCTTTCACCATTTAAAAAGGGACTCGTAATTCTATTGAAGAAAAATGTTTTAAAATTTTCAAAGTCCATATTAATATAAAACAAAAGGATCTATTGCTTCCGCTATGATAAATCCGATAAACCGGGTTCAATTTATCGTCCTATGAGAAAGGAGATGCTACAGTCAACATATTAATATTACTCTATTACACAATAATAGTGATTTTTGTTGTGTTGATATTACTGTGCTAGAGAGTAATATAGTAATATTATTGTGTTTAACTGTATTATAGTTAATATTACTGTGTTAAATAGCAATATTGTTAATATGACTGTCAACTAGAGCAATATTGTTGTTTAAATAGGGCAAACAGATGTTAAGGATAAAAACATTGAAAAAGTCAACCCCGAAAACCGGCGGAAAAATCAGGAGAAATAAAAAGAAAAAAAAAATTAAATAAGTCAGCGTTGGAGACCGACCGAAAAATTTATGAGAAAAAAAAAGTCAACGGCGGCGACAGGCAAAGTTGTACTCAAAATTGGGTTTTGGGTCAAAATTGTATAATTTGAGAAATTTGGGATAAAATTGAAGTTAAATTAAATTAAAGCCTAAAATTGGAGCATATTAAAATGTGAAGGCGTTTTGAGAAAATTTCATTGGCATGCACTGTTGCATATATATGTCTATAAGGGTATAATTGGTATATGAGCGATGTTAGGATTTAAGATTATTATAAAGGGTGCAAATTTAGATCGGATGGCATGTTTTAATAGGAAAACACGTGGATAGTTTAAATAAAAATATAATTAAGATTTTAATAATTGAAAAAAAAAACCAGCATAATCTATAACCCCTATAACCCTAATTATAATCAACATGATTTATTAAGAGTTAATACTTAAAAGTACCACGTGTCAAAAAATTAGTGGAATCCGATTTATATTAAGGGTGCAAATTTAGACCGGATTGTCTGTTTTAATAGGAAAATCGGATGTCATAGGATAATTGACGCGTGGATAGTTTAAATGAAAATATAATTAAGATTCTAATAATTGAAAAAAAAGAAAAAGAAAAAAAAGAAAACCCCAGCAGAATCCATAACCCCGCTAACCCTAATTATAATTCGCGTGATTTATTAAGAGTTTAGACTTAAGAGTGTCACATGTCAAAAAAATTAGTGGAATCCGATTTATATTAAATATTGATCCGCTCAAAATTTAATCTCATATATTAAATATCGACTGATCCGCTCAGAATTTAATCTCTATTATAAAAACCAAAGAAGGGATGTTACTAAACGACAAAAGAAGATTGAACCCGTACTTATGATAAATATGCTTTGAGGGTCTTTCTTATAATTAACCCCAAGATCAAATAAAAATCTCACCTACAAAACACCCACAACACGTGAAAATCAAACCTAAAACCTCCCACATAAAAAATAAGAGTGAACCACTAAATCCCAAGATTCTCCACAATAATACTTAAGGGATTATTTTGGAGACCCCTCATTTCCAAATTATATATAACTAACTAGCAAGTGGATTACACTTTAGGGGAAACCCCCCTTATTTCGAAAATATTTTGACATATCCTCTTGGGCTACCCTGAAGTTCCTAAAATACCCTTCTAAAATCAGTTTTAAACCCTAGCCACTCACGGTCTCTCTCTTCTTCTCTCCCAAATTCAAAATCCCGCCTCCACAAACCTCCCACCGGCGAAATTGCTTCCCGGAGCCATAACTCTCTCTCCGGTGGTCGGAATTCGATGGTTTAACTACCGTTGGATTCCTCTCGTCGAGCTCTTTCTTTTGGTGGTGATTTCATTCAGTTTCGAACGCTGATCTGTTTCTGCAATTTTTTTTCATACGAGAACGGTGGTCTTGCTGGAGTTTTATTTTGTGTTCCACCCGTCGAAATTTGACGGGTCACCTACCTTTGGATTCCTCTCGTCGGGATCTATATTTTGATGGTAATTTCGTTTATTTTTATGTTTTCAGATTTATTTCTATATTTTTTGCATTTGTGGCCGCGCGGAACCATGGGTGGTTATTAGCGGCGTCTAGGGTTTTGGTAGGAGGCGAGGGGGGTGAGGAGTCACTGTCTGTTTGATTTAAAATATGTAGCATTTTCCAACAATAACCTCTCTATCTATCTCTCGATCTCTTAATGTTTGGTAATTTTTGAGTGTTTTGATGTTTTTCTTCAAATTTGTTGATTTGCACTAAAGTAATTTCTTTTTGTTTTGATTTTGCAATTGCAGCTTAATGAAGGCCATTAATCCTTTCCTTGAAGGTGTCAAATTATTGTTTTTTTAAGTTACATCAGATCTGTTTAACAGACTGTATACACTATACATTACTATACATTACTATAGTAACATGTAGTTACATATGCGTATATTTATATATTTTCGATTTGTATTTTATTGGTTTTGATGTGATTTATAATAAAAATATTTAAATTTGTAAATTTGTGTTGGGGTTTTATGAATTTATTTTGTATAAGTCAGTATTCGTGTGTGTGTATACAATTGATCGACTAAAAATATGGGGAAAAAACGAACATAACTATGAATTACTATAGGTACTATAGTTACATGTAGTTATTTTCAGTACTTTAAACATATTGTTTTGAAAATTAAAAAAAAAATTAAAAAAAAAAATAAAAAAAAAATAAATAAAAAAAAAAATATGTATATATATATATATATATATATATATATATATATATATATATATATATATATATATATATATATATATATATATATATATATATATATATATATATATATATATATATATATATATATATATATATATATATATATATATATATTTAACAAGCAGATTTATAAAAAAAGAATAATAATAATAATAAATAAATAAATCAGCGAAAATGATAAATGCAGGACCATAAATGCTGAATGTAGTTTGGCCGAAAATTGCACATAAGGGTAGTATAGTACTTTCGCTTCCCCAGGGGTATGTCAAAGGATGATTTGAGCTTGAGTTTATCCCTAGTTTATTTAGTGGCTAGGGTATGTAAAATAACGCCAATACTTCAACGTAAAAGATAAAAGTTACAGATCTTCAACACGTGTCGCATATACACGCAATCCACACTGTAGATGGATCGTTGGGATACATCAAAATTTTTTTCTTCAACAATAAAAATAAAATATTATATAACACACCGGCACACACTCGACACACGACACACCAATAAATACACACACATACACACGAGACACACCAGTATGAAAAATCAGAAGCTCATGGGAATTCCAGTAACAGAAGTTGTCAGTGCTGAGATGGCAAGCCTACCCAAAATAGAATATATCTTTTTCTTTTTGCTTCCGCTACTACTACTTTTCTGCCGCTCAGCCGCCGCCGGCGTAATCATCCGCGGCTGCTGATTGTACCCCATCATCATCGGCGGCGGCTGGCGGATGTTCACCATCATCATCGGCGGCGGCTGATAACTGTACCCCATCATCATCATCGGCAGCGACTCGGGGATTACGATTTCCTCATCGTCGTCGTCGTCGTCGTCTTGAAGAGCGCACTCGAGGTGGATATCGACATCGCAAGTACGGCAGGTGTACCTCCAGGAAGTACAAACCTCATCGCAGAGATCACAAGGGGCGATTCGTCCGGGCTTGAGTGTCAACCTGTGGCGGTGCATGGGGAGCTTCACCTGGATGGGCAGCTGGGTGCACAGCGGGTGCACGTCGAAGGCGCACGTGCGGCACGTGTAGAAGAGCCCGCACACGAAGTCCCCGCAGAGGTCGCAAACCCGGTTGGCCCCCAGCTTGTTGACTAGGGTTAGTGGGTGCTTGGGGTGGAAGCCCGATTGGATGGTGGACGGACACGTGGCGCAGATTTCGTGGAGGTCGAAATTGCATGCCTCGCAGCTGTAAGTGGGCCCGGACCCCAGCTGATCGCAGCCGTCGCAGAGGAATTCGTTGGGGATGTAGAAGGGCTTCAGGAGGTGTTCCGGATGGGTGCGGTGGCGGATACTCCTCGGCTGCGATGATGAACATGCATCCATTATTATTAATTTAACTACTTTCTCTCTCCTCTCTCTCTCTCCTGCTTTTCAAATTATACACTCACTTCAACGTCTATTTATAGGGTTTTGGGAGGATTACCTGATTTACCTCCTATTATTAGCCAATCAGAATCAACCACCCTTTCATATTTTCTAGGATTAATTACAGTTAGGCATTGTATAACTAATTATTATATTAATATATAGAGCCAAATCCAACTTTTCATGGTTGCATTTTTGTTAGAATTTTGAATAAAACGTTATGATTTAAACAAACAATGGGATTATTTTAGACACCCTTGTGGAAAATATATATATTTAACCCCGAAGCTAATTATATCGTTGTGCATATCCTTTTCATTTTGAATTTAATTTGACAGAACTCCCTCACCCACCCTGAAATATCTATAATACCCTTTCAAAATCAGTTTTAAATCCTAGCCACTCACACTCGTCTCTCTCTTCCTCTCTCTCCATAGATCTCCAACCGACGAAGTTGTTTCCCGGAGTCATAACTCTCTCTCCGGTGGTCGGAATTCGATGGTTTAACTACTGTTGGGTTCCTCTCGTCGAGCTCTTTCTTTTGGTGGTGATTTCATTCAGTATGGAGTGATGGATATGTTTCTGCAATTGTTTTCCAGTCAACGCATATTTCGACGACGGTGGGTCTTGCCGGAGGTGTATTTTGTTTTGTACTCGTTTTGATTTGTACTCATTTTTTGCAAAAATAGTTTTTGATGCACCACAATCTGATATTTGCAATCCAAGAGACACATATTATTATCATCTTGTTTCTAACTGTGGAGTTCGAATGGGTAAAAGCGGGTACAAACTCGAGAATATTCCACATAATCTAGAAAATTTTAACCGCAAAATGTGGACGTGTAAGTAGATTCATATCTGACGTGGGTGGTTGTAATTATAAAAAACATGAGAGGAATTTTCGTAATTTAATTTTATCATAGGGTGGCTGTAATTTACCGTTTACTATAAAAAAACTTGAGAGGATTTTTCAAAATTTATTTTATCTCAAGGGCGGCCGTAATTTATCGTTTATTTATTTCATGATCGTATATAGCTTTTGAAATGCAAAGGGTCAAGAAGCAAGAGTGACCAAGTGGATGTCAACTTATATGAAGCTGACTGCGGATGGACTTTGCATTTTTATGAAATGATCACACTCTCAAAAACACATAAACAGAATATTTATATGAAATGTCACTCTTACCTTAGTTATTTTTCTCTCATATTAGAATTCTTCCATAGAAGCAACCTTAACGTGTACGCAAGCTACTAAATTGAACTGCTCATACGAACAGATAATTAATTATTAAACATTACCCTCTGATGTAGAGAAATCCATTCTCATTTTTAGGCTTCAGTTTATTTCCATATTAGTTTTAGGTCCATTTGGATGAATATATTTGGGGGAGAGATTTCAAATCCATAATAACTATAGGAAGAATAGAATAGGAGAAAGGAATAGATAATAATGCGTAATATAATAGAAACCTCCATTGTGTTATGGGTTCATTTACATGGAATATATAGAGAGAAATAATACGAGGTAATAGAGTTTCACTAGTTAACTAACTCCTAACTAATCTAGGTAACCGAATCATAATAGAATCCTAATATCCTATAATATCTAATAATATAATATACTCTAACACGCCCCCGCAGTCGAAACGTGACGAACGTGAAGACTGGACAATCACTTGCTGACACGCTCCCGCAGACGGAACGAACAAACTCCAAAAGTGAAGATTGGAAAGAAAACCCGCGAAATCCAGCAGCAGTGAAATCCTTGATGAAAATATCAGCCAAATTAATAGAAAGAAAATAATAATAATAACATGGAGATTTTTTTTTTTTTTGAATCGAGAGAGAGGATATAAGAGAGGGAAGAAGAATAATTAAAGAAGGATAGAGATTAAAGAGAGAGAAAAGAGATTAACCGACTAAGAAGAAGAATATGTCGAACAATAATATAACTTAAAAGAGAAGAGTACCACCACCGAGGAGGGAGGAAATTTGGTGGTGTTCATGGATCTGATAGAAAAAGACTTATAGAGAGAAGAGTACCACCACCGGGAGGGAGAAAATTGGTTTGGTGGTCGCCGGCCATGGAGAAGAAGAGAGGCGGCAGCTAGGTTTTAGGCCATGGAGAAGAAAAGAGGAAGAAGAACAGAAGAGAAATAGAGAAGATGCACCACCGGGGGAGGGAGAAAATTCGGGTGGTGTTCATGGAAAATATAGAAAAAAAATATTAGAGTACCACCACCGGGGGAGGGAGAAAATTGGGTGGTCACCGCCATGGAGAAGAAATGTGGCCAGGTTAAAAAACCTGGTGCTCTGATACCATATAGGAAGAATAGAATAGGTGTTATGGGTTCATTTACATGGAATATATATATAGAAAAATAATACGAGGTAATAAAGTTTCACTAGGTAACTAACTTCTAACTAATCTAGGTAACCGAGTCATAATAGAATCCTAATATCCTATAATATCTAATAATATAATATACTCTAACAATAACAAATCTCTTGCACTTGTTTGGATTGGGGGATTTGACAAGAAATTTCAAATCCACACCCCTCCTATTTAGTTGTTTTTTGAGCAATTGTGGTGGATTTCAAATGACTCCAAATTGGTGTCATTTCAAATTACTTACCCAACAAATCCTCCTCCAAATCCATCCATCCAAATTGACGGTTTTATCTATCCTATACCCGGTGAAGGTTACATCGGGTGATTTTTTACCGTTGATCTACACATACCAAATTAAGGGTGTGTGTGTTTGTATGTATATGAATGGTAAAGATCTATCCGGTGTATTTTACCTGATGTAGGATCTCAAAAGCCCAAATGGACCTTAAAGAAAGTGGGGTGCGGTTTGGGGGTATGTGTTTCGCTTAATTTGAAAAAAATAATTCAAATTTTAAATAACTAAATATTTTTTTACATAAATTCCTCTTTTTATTGCAAAATATCATGCACCAAATTCCCTTGTCTTACGAAAAATTTGCATTAAACCCCTCAATAGTTAATAGTGTTATTTGCTAACGGAATAAGGGATTTCATGTAAGATAAAATAAAACACAAGGGGATTCTACGCAATAACATAAGGGAATTTGGTGCAGGTTTTCCATAACACAGGGGGTTTTATGCAGTTTACCCGAGAAAAACACAAAATAAAATAAGATGTTGTAGAAAATGTTTCCACGCAAAACTCTCCGCTCTCAACTCTCTTTAGAAATCAGTGAAAAATGAACTGAGGACTTCTCCTATTTATAAAATTCAAGAGCTCCTTATCTTGCACTAGATAAACACTAAGTTAGAAATAACCGTCCACTAATCAATAATACAGTAAACTGATTATTTAAATAAATAAAATTGATTTAAAGAAAGTTAAACAATGAATTATATTCGACTTTTAAGTTTTAACAGGCAAATATCCAACAACCCATATTTTAATTGGTAACACATTATCAAAACCTAGGAAACATTCTTACATTTACAATAATATTTGTTTAATTACTAGATTTGAAGTGGATCACTAGCTACGTAAGTGACACTGAAGGTTGCCCATGGAAAACCTACGACCTAAAAAGTCAAATTATATATACACTACTAACACTTGGTCTGATAAGCTGATTAGTCCATGTCACGTGTGTGTATATCCTAAACTATGTTTATTTTTTTCTTTTTTTCTGTTTATTTCTTTATTCATGATTGACATTAACAACAGAACTCGTAGTCGTTCGAAATATATAAATTGGGTAAATGATGGGGTATATACCTAGGCCCCAGGCGTTATTGACTAATTCTAACTAAGATAAGATAATTGCACAAAAATAATATTCATTTTCTCACTGCAAAATAATAGTGTCTCCTGGTATTTAAAGAAGTAAATACAAGTTCCTTACGGATGAAAAACAAATCTTAAGAAATTATAATCTTACTCTTATTGCTCATCTTCCAACAATAAAGTAAACTAGATGATCACTTAAGAAATTATGAAGCTGACTGTACAAAGCTAAGGGATCACTTTGTTGGAAATGAATAAGCTAGATTCATTAATCAAGTTCAAAGTATTGAAGGTTCTAGAATTATCTAGAATTCATGAATGTGGAAGAATACATGAATGTGTCTTTTGGAGAGATTCATGTATAATGCTATGGAGGAAGAATATTATTAATTACGTGTTCATGCAGCATTTGTTTAGATACATGCTAGGAAAATCCTATAAATAGTTTATGTAGTTTTCTTCATTTGGAGTAAGTCAAAAACAATTAGAAGAAGTATTCTAGAGAGAAACAAGAGAGTTCTTGAGTAAGTTTACGTATTTGTGTTGATTGAGTGAGTAATATATTTTTATCTCCTCTCCACTGCTCCTCCTCTCTATTTTAAGTTATTCCGCTGCGTGTTTTCGATCTATATTATTAAATCGATCCAACACACTTATGGAATTGCACCAAAGCTGGAAATGAACTGAAGAGAAGTTAGTTAGAGGAACTAACTTCTGGTACCATGCAGCACGTGGAGGGGAGGTGGAATATGGCATCTTCTGAGGTGTATATAAGTGTGTTGTTAGCTAGTTAGTTTATGAGAGAGAAACACATTGTAATCACTATATATAGAGTAGAGAGATAAACCGCCATAGAAACTGTGCTTGATATGTCTTTGATCAACACAGTAATTAGGGTTTTTTGTCGCTCGACTCCTCCCAACATCAAAGCTAGTTTTGGTTTTTCGGGTTGTGGATCGCCATGAAAAATATCTTGAAATGCCAGCTTAATTTGATGCACTACAAAAAAAACTGTTTTATGTGACGCAAGAATTCGTCGCAAAAACTCAATATATTGTCGCAAAAAAAATTAGGTGACAATATATTTCGTCACAGTGGTCGTCGCGTAGGCCCCGTCGCGAAAGGTGTTATATGACAAACTGAAGTTTTCGTCACCAAATTTTGTGACAAAAGCAAATTTCGTCACATAAAGTTGTATTGTTGCGACGAAGTGTTCGTCGCATAAACCAAATTTGTTCGTCACTAAAACAGTTGTCGTCACAAGAAGTAATCTGTTCACTTACTTCTTGTGACAACTTATTTTGTCGCAGAAGACACAATATCTATTGAGACAATTATTTCGTCACAAAAAGTTATTTTTCAAAATTTTATTGTAAATATATAATTTGTTATATACTATTTATATTATTCATATTATTACCATTTAAATTAAAGAAACTAATAATACAATTACAAAAAACTAAACAACGATTTCGAAAATAAAATTGCATTGCAATATATCGTACCATTTCACATACAAATTAAATTGAAACTTACATTAAAATATAAACTACATAATATATAAATACAAAGTCCTTCCTTTAGTGGAGCGATATCCTTCCTCCTCACAATCTTCTTTGCACTTCAATGGATAAGTAAAATGTAGAAATTCTATTTCCAACCATTGCTTCAAATGATGAAATGGGAGTTCTCGAAAAATTGTCTAACTTCTTAATTCTTTAAAAACCTGAAAATTAAAGATTTGTGACGTTAAATAACTGAACAAGTACCTTAGAGGGTTCTGAAATTTAATGAATTCTAACTTTTCACAATGGAAATTATTGAGCGGAATATGCAAATACTAACATGAACTTAAAGCAATCAAGCTGTAGTACTAATACCTGAAGACAAAGATGCACCTTTGCACGGAAACTTTTCCTTTCAAGCAATATGAACTTAAACGGAATCAAGCTGCAGTAATAAGGATACAGTCTACACAACCAAAGATACGCGTATAGCAACTTTATCATATTGATCAATAATTAGTATATTGTATAATGAATACGAAAAGTATTAAGAAATCTGAAATCCATACAAACCGTACAATGAAGAGAAACCTTGACTAAGAAAGTGATTGGTTCTACTCAATCCATCCGCTAAAGGCTCATTCCTTGCTTGTTATTCTGCAAAGGGAAAATCAATAATTAGGCAACTATACTTACACACTAACTTTATGCATAGTAAGTTAAATCTTAGAAAGGAACCAAGGTGCATGCCCCTGACAACACCACCATAAGTGATTTTGATTTTATAGTAGAGGAGAAATCCCATAGTGTTGTTCTTCCTGCAAAAAGAACCAGAGATGATATTAATTAAAACTATTATCTAAAATTTTGTGTTAGTTAAAATTAATTTTGGTGTTACACAGGCGATTCAGATTGAAATATAATCAATTCATCACCCGCTGACATGCACAAACACTTTTCGCGGCATATAGAGTTTAGCAAGAAACTCACAATTGAAGAATTATCATGCTTGAGGCTTTTGTCTTTACGTTTCCCACTCAACTTGTTATCTGAAGCAAGAAATTTGAATTGGTTAAAATTTCAAGGCCACCATAACAAGTAATGGAAATGAAAAATAATTTAATATGGAGCAGAATATCCTAATCCAAAAATATACTTATTAGCACAGTTACTAATTTTCCTAAACATAATGTGAGATAATTTAGAACAAACACAAATCCACGTTGAATGCCAAGCTAATATAGACTAAGTCTCCTTCAATTTAAAATTGCCAAACAAGTCGGAAACTTTACAACAATCCAAGACCTGAAGTCCATTTAAAGATTTGTAAATCTTTACCAACTTTCAAACCTTCCTGCAATTTCAAGAAAATTATAATTATATACAATAACCCCATTCGTTGAATATGCAGTCAAGTAAAGGCAGCAGCATATATACCTTTGCTACATATTTAGCAATTGCAATGTTTATCACTTTCTTAATAACTTGGTGGTACACTTTCGACGGGCCTAGAATTTCCAAAAGAATCTCTTTCGGTATCTGCAAGAAGGTATATTCTACATTAGGGAAAAGAAAAAAAAATTATTTCTACATTTTGGCGAAAACTTTATCATATATTTCTTGCGTTTTGGTTCCGGAAACCTCTACAGTGATCTGCAAAGAAACCATGAAAAAAAAACCGAAAAGAAAGAAGTCATTACAAACTATCAACATAATGAGAAAACTATTACAGTATTCACTACCTTTAGTTCGTCGTCTTTGTCAGAAGATGTGGCTGTAAAACTGAACTCTTCAACCGAAGAAGAAGAAGAAACTTCAAAGCCATCGACACCTGGTGTAACAGCACAATCCAAAGGAGTCATTAGTTCCAAAAAGAACATAGAATATTATCTAGCAATTAATTGCATAATCCTCGCTCGTTTTTGCACCTGATACGAGGACAACCCATACACCTGCATTTGCAGTACTCCTGCATTAGAGAAATCATCGGTAACTAATCAATGCGGAGATATCACATATTTTCACAGTTGAAGTTAACAATCAACATTAGTTACAGAAAAAACGACTCGATACTTACATCGATTTCGACTCGACTCATCTAACAGACAACAATCAATTGTCTTACATTCAGAGTCTGAAAGAGAGTACCTTTGCAGAAGTTGGTGTGTAGTGAATCCCATCTTAAGAGAGAAGCATCTTCCTTTGGGAAATCGACAAGGCGCAAACACATCTGCAAATTGCCTCTCACTTGTGATAACCTGTTCAATCAATCAATCGTAATCTCAGATTTCTTATTTCAAATGTAATGAAAATTACAGATACACCCATCAATCTGAAGCTGTAAATTAGGGATAGAAATTGCCCAATCTTTATCAAATTATCTACCACAAAGAAGAAAACCAAATTGAAATTCAACAGACTGCAAATGAAAAATCATTACCTTGGAATTTGAATAAGAGAAACAGGCGAGTGTGTTAACGGTTAACATTTCGCCTACCCCCTCTGTTCTTTCTTCTTTAGCCTACACCCTCTGTTCTTTCTTCTTTATCTTCGTACAGTTGGTTAATTCACCATTATTTAGCTGAAGAGGTCTTTTTTGTATGCCAAGGTTTTAACAAATATCATATTAACCCCAATTTAAATGGAATTCAGGTATTGGAAAATACCTTTCTCAATGGCGCTTGGAATTTTTTGTGAGATTTGTGTTTTTCGTCATCTTCCTTGCTTTTGCGCTTTTTAATCCTCGGATCATCTTAATTAGTCAATCAAACAAACCAAAAATTCATATAAATAAACCATAAGTATATTCATACAATAACTTAGAGACAATCAGTAAAGCCAATGCCGATTTCAACGGACACCAGCGAAGCAGATGAACCAACAAAGGAGAACACAAAAGTATTTGGGCTAAAGAGAATTAATTAATAGTAAACAAGAGCAAGGGGATTCCATCTATGCACTTCAATTTTTATCTATGCTCGTTTCACTCTTCATTTCTTCCTTTAGGGCTTCATTATTACACTTCCATTGAAGCACCATACCAGAAAACTCCATAATTCTGATTCAGAAAACCTAATTTAGATTCAAACACCGAAAAATTCTTCAATGAATTTTGAAAATTTAATTAGATATCCTTAATTTAATTTTGAGGAAAAAAACCTAGTTTACGAACTTTTAGCCAAAACCTTAACATTAGATTTCAGAATTAGAGAGAAGAAAAATGACAGCGGTGTAGATGTAGAGGCTCAAAAACTCCAGTTTACGCACTTCTAACCAAAATCCTAACATTCGATTGCAGATTGGGAGAGAAAAAAAATGACAGATGAGCAGAGGTAGAGAGGCTAGAGTTAGAGATTAACAACAAAATTACCTTACTTGAATCGATTGAGAGGCTAGTGGTGACGGAGGCGGCGGAAGGCTGGCGGTGGTGGCGGAGGCGACATGCGAAACGCTGGCGGAGGTGGCGGAGGCGACAAGCGAAACGAGAGAGGGAGTGGAAGGAAAATGGCGAGAGAAAAATAACAACAGACGGATGCAAAATAATATATGAGAAAAATAACATTGAATTGCTAAATGACAAAAGATTTAATTGTAAAAGATTTATAATTAAATTTATATTTAATTATAAATTATTTGGTTTTGTGACAAAAGTAATTTTGTCACAATAAAAGTGAATGTGACGAAATTACTTTGTCATAAAACAGCTAAATGTTATCACTAAAACGGGTGCACCAATCGTTGGAATGAGTCAGACATTTCTTTTCAAGACGAATTTATAATGTTGTCACATAAGACGAACTTAATGTGACGAAAACAATTTTGTCTCATAAAACATTACTTTATGAGACGACATCTGATTTCGTCATATAAACTTGTTATTGATGTGACGAATTTTACTTTCGTCACAATAAATTGTCACAAAAAGTACATTTTTTTGTAGTGATGGGAATCTCTCGGAAAACAATTTTTTTGCGACTTAAGGGATAGAGTATATGGGCACGGATCGAAGGTTGGGATGAAAAGCATCTGTCTAAAGCGGACAAAGAGGTGCTTATCAAAGCAGTCCTTCAAGCTATTCCATCTTATATAATGAGTTGCTTCCAATTGGATGTGTAGTATTGATTTTAAATGCCTATGAATATTTACTCATGTGTTGAGACAGACTACGTGTTACGACATTAAGTGTCGTAACAGAATTCTTGTGTAGTTACAGTAATAAATCTACTAAAAGCAGAATAAAGAACACAACAATTTAATGTAGTTCGGATACAAACGTACCCTAAATCCACGAGGATTTGCAAAACTAGTTCAGATTTAAGTGTACATTAATAGGACTTAATAAAAACACTAAAGACTCCCTCTTTATGTAATATGCCGTTCTTGCACACGACTCGAACTTGTTGATAATCAAAGCAATTCCTCCTCCGCACTCTTGGACTCCCTCCAATGTTGAACTTCCTTCAAACGGCGGATCGACCTCTCCCGAGATCTTTTAAGCACTTCTCCCGAAACGCCGATCTTCTTTATGGCCTGGTAGAAGAAACCTTCAAAGCCTTTATGCTGAGATTTTTCTTATTAAAGCTCCATATGACTCATATGAGGGCCTTATATAGGCACTAAATCCATCACCCTAAACCTAACTTGAGCCCTAAGAAATCGATTAACTAGGTAATAGAATCCTAGTCGATTTTTATTTATATTCTAGATAAGTACAAAAGATACCTAACTAGAATATAATACATGAAAATAAATCTAAATCCTAATAAAAATATTACAAGAATATGACTTTAATTAATTCAGTAACAGAAATCTCGTGCCAACATGTAGAAACAAAAATATTGAATAATGTTTTTCATATCTTTTCATTCACCACCACTACGTGCATATATACACATACATGTATCTATATAAGATCAAACAAATATTCTTTAATAAATGTAAACAGAATCAAATCAAATATCCTAATGATATTAACAATTAAATCAAATATCTTTGGGATTATCTCTAATAGATTGATATGGAAAAGCAATAAGAAAATTATGGTGGGGGAATGAGAATACCAAATCTTGTGCGTAGATGTGGTGGTTTTTGCAATTTGAAGGCTTCTAACCTTGCTATGTTAGCCAAACAAACTTGGGAGGATTATTTCAAACCCCAACCTGCTGCTCTCATAGATTTTACGAGCCAAATACTTTTCGAAAGGTGATTTTTGGAGTGCACATTCACATTGGTATTGGCAGTTTGACAGCGATATGGGCCGACCATGGTTGGCACATGGTGGCAGTTTTAAATATCATTACCAAACCCCCGATCTACTAAGCGTTTCCCAATACCGTTTCGGACCTTATCCATTCAGAAACTCTCATGTGGAACATCGAGTTTATCGACAATATATTCCGGGTAGTTGACAAAGGGCTGATCCTGGAAATTCCCATCGGCAGTTCCCATGCAAAGGATCCCGTATGTACGTAATTTGGCTATTTTCGCACAAATGGAGATTCACGGTACGATTATGTCAGCGAGCATAGACAAGAGCAGGTGAATTATCGACGGCTAAAATTTTTGAGAAGTGGTGGAAGTTGATCTGGCGTCTTCATGTTCCCACCAAGATACGCACATTCCTCTGGCGAGCCGGTTCGGATATCGTCCTCACTAATGTGGAGCTTTTTCGGCACCATATTATTAGGTCTCCATTTTGCAATCGATGTCTTTGTCGTCCCGAATCCCTTATGCATGTTTTCTGCCGATACAGAAGTTTGGAAGAAGTAAGAAAAACCCAGCCTTTTGGTATACAGTTGCACGAGGATATTACATCTTTCAGATTTTGGCTAGAGCTTTTACACGATACTCTTTCTAAAGATAACTTAATCTTGCAATTGTGGTGATGTGGAAGATATGGGACAATAGAACACTAGTAGAAGAATAACTTTTTACATCGAATTTTTTTGCTACTATAAAAAGACGTAACAAATGATACTTTTTACTACGGGACAATCTTTGAGTCGAAGTAAATACTAGGATTTACCTTAGCAAAATATATAGTATTTGCTACGGCCATTTACCGTAAAAAAGTTTTTGTCCCGCCCGTATATGCTACGGGGCAAATTCATAACAAATGCATAGCAAAAGCCTTTTTACTATAAATTTGGTACATTTTGCTACGGTTAATGATTCTAGTAACAAAAACCATTGTTCTACTAGTGGAAAGTGGAAACTGCGTGCTTCATAATGAAGGCAGTGTGAACACATCTGAAACTGTGAGTTCGTGTAGTTAATATTTTACAGTGTTTAACAAGGCGCAACACAAGTGTCTCTCTATCCCCAAGAAACATCTTCTATCTCCAAAAAATATCACCTCAATAGCTGGATTCCTCATTTTGTTGGTAGGATCAAGGTTAATTTTGATGCACTCAACAAAGACTTGTATTCGACGACAATGATGGCACAAAATTCTAACGATTATTGTGTTTGGTGAAGCATCGAGAAATGTACTGGAAGGATTCGACAAGAAGAAGGTGATGCCAATGCAGTACTGAAAGCGATCCATAAAGCAGTTTCTCGAGGATGGCGGTCGATACTAGAAGGTGATTGAGTCTCTCAGAGAAGATGATCCGTCCTTTCGCTTTTTTGGGGCATTTATTGCAGATATCCGTTGGTTAGCTAAATCATTTGATAGTTGCAAGTTTTCATTTGTCAGAAGGCAAGGCAATTGCCTTGCTCGTGCATTGGCTAGTAGTTCTAAACTCAGTTGTATGGAATACTCGGTTCTTTCTCCTCAGATGGCTATTTCTGTCTAATTAATGTATTCTTCTCTTTGTTCCAAAACAAAGAGAAGAATCAATATCTCTTGCTAACATCTGTCATTCACGTACCCGATAAGATTCCAAAATAATTCACGTTTTGAGGTTGTTGCACACATATTAAGAAAACTAATAAATATGTGTTGATTTTAGAGAAAAACATATAATGCGACTAAAGTACCCCTATCATTAATCTTAGTTTCATTAATTTCGTCTTTACTAACTAAAATTATTAAGGGCATAATTGATAAACACTAATTAATGCATTATTAAAAGTCTAAAATGACAAATAATATAGAACAAGAAAAATTACTCAAAGTGACACTTAATTTGGTTTGGAATGGAGGGAGTACCATATTTGAAATATTATCAATACAAAATAAAAAAGTAAGTGAACAACTAAAAACGCCAATAACTGATACCACGCTTTACTGTGGTGTTCTTTCTATTTTTCTTTTTCTTTTTACTTTTCTTTTTGTTTTTTTTTTCTTTTTATTTATATTTTGTTATTTGTTTTTGGGTTTAAAAGTTTGCATCCAATCTGTTCATTCTACTCCCACTCACCAACCGTCACTCACATCCCTTCTCCATCCTGTTACACTCGTAAGCTCTCTCTCTCTCTCTCTCTCTCTCTCTCTCTCTCTCTCTCTCTTCCTGCTCTGTATATATATATGTAATATGTGCGTATTTTGGTGTATGAATCTAATAATCTAATGAATTTCAGGCCGTGAAAATCTTCTCGCTGAATCAGAAGAAATGTCAGAAGGTAAGCACTAAATTGAATCAAAATTGACTGCTTATTTTGTTTATCTATTGTTAAATAATATTCCAATGAAAAACCAAATGTTCGAGAATTCCTGTCAATCTGCTGTTTTTTTAATTCATACCGTGTAATGTTCATTTGAAATTACTCGAGTTTCTATCAAAAGTAATGCATTTGTGCTGATTTGAACAATTGTTTTGGGTGGTTTGATGTTTGCTAATATTGAAAATATGGAAATGGATCTGCAAAAGACACAGTATCTCCATACGATGAGGCGATGGAGGCTTTATCTTCACTGATAACGAAGCGCAGTCGTGCTGATAAGAGCAACAAGGGCGATCGATTTGACTTATTGTTTGATTATGTTAAGGTATAATTTTTGAATTTTATGTACTGTGATGATGGTACGGAGAATAAATTTTATTCCGTGTGTGTATTCATGTCTTCGTTTAATCTGTTTTTGTTCTTTGTGTTTGATGACATGTAGATTTTGGAACTAGAGGAGCCGATTAAACAGATGAAGATTATTCACGTGGCGGGCACCAAAGGAAAGGTGAGAAAAATCACTTTGATTAGTGTTTTGAGGGATTATTTCGAGATGGTGACAAAGTCGAGAGAATCTATGGACCGAATTTTTTAATTTGATTCTGATTCTGATTCACCTTTAATAACCGTTTTTCAAATAAGCTAGCCCTAATATGGCTTTCACTATTGAAATATGAAGGGATCGACTTGCACTTTCACAGAATCTATTCTGCGTAATTGTGGCTTCCGCACTGGACTTTTCACATCTCCTCACCTCATTGATGTTCGTGAGAGGTTTAGGTTGGATGGGTATGTACTGACAAATCATCAACTCTTATTATTAAACGGACTTTTGGCTTTTATACATTGCCGTATTCTCGAGGCAGTTTCGGACATGAAAAGAACGCGGTCAATTGATCTTTTTATTCTACTTTTATTTTCTTGGCTTGGATATTTCAGTTTGGATATTTGTGAAGAGAAGTTCTTGGAATACTTTTGGTGGTCTTGGGATCGGCTGAAGGCATGTACTGTACTTCCATATTATAATTTTGGCATATTGTTTTCTATATTTTTTTGGTTTTCCGAGAGATTATAGCATGACATGATTGTGCTCCATTCTATGAAAGATTCTCTTCTCCCCAATTCTAGAGAAAATAAATCGATTTATTATCCATGAAGTACTTATTTATTGACATATAACATATTAATCTGTTTTGAGATGCTTGTAGCTCTTATTTTGATTTTTATGCTTTCAAATTCTCCATTGTCAAAATTATGCTAAAATACCAGGAATGCGTGTGTTAGCTATAATATTGAACACATGCACACGCAAAGAATAGGAAAAGAAAAGATCATTGGTTAATGAACTTGGAATCTATAATCTCTATGGAGATAGATACCACTAAATTTGAAACATATGCTTCTATAGATATAATTAAGTCTTTTCGGTTCATATGCTAGAAGTCTTAGAACCATACTTAAAGAGTACTTTGGTATCGAGGCTTATGTTAGTGACATTTTGTACGAGATCATATGAATGATACTTCGACTACTTTGGAATCAAAAATTTGTATACTTTCTCTTTTTCATTTTTGTTGTTTCCATGCAGGAAAGAACTTCTGATGAGATGCCGATGCCGACATACTTTCGTTTCCTTGCGTTGCTTGCCTTCAAGATATTTGCAGCTGAGCAGGTAATTTGAGCTATTCTTGCATGCGAAATATCGTACAATTTGCATGATTATTGTCTCATATTGATATTATTTGATCCAGGTAGATGTTGCGATTTTGGAGGTTGGCTTAGGTGGAAAATTTGATGCTACAAATGTGGTATGCATCTGGAAAAGACCTTTACAGTTATATTGAAGCAGGAATTAATCTGCCAGTTTGACTTGCACTTTTACTAAAAATGTTCGTGATTACCGGATCTCTAACATCATGTAGTGTTCATTCAGGTTGAGAACCCAGTTGTCTGCGGGATAGCTTCGTTAGGGTATGACCACATGGAAATTCTTGGTTAGTTCTTTAAGACCTACATCATTTGTTGTTGAAAGAACTATGGCTATGTCGCACTCACATTTTATTACATAATATGGGCAGGAAATACCCTTGGACAAATTGCTGGGGAAAAGGCTGGGATTTTCAAGGTGTGCCCACTCATGTTTTCTTTTCGTGTTCATTATTTTTTTTTTTTTGTACTTTGATTTATTTTTTCAATGGGAAAAAAACACTTGTTTGTTTCCATCTACTCATCAATATCTCCTTCATCTTTATTTTCTTTCATTAGAGTGGTGTTCCTGCCTTCACCGTACCGCAGCCTGAAGAAGCCATGAGTGTTCTTGAACAGAAGGCCGCAGAGCTAGATGTAAGTTGGATTTTTCTCTACCGACTTTGATTACCTTCTTTATTGGAAATGTACGTTTAAATTTCGAGAGAAAAATTGAGATTAAATATCAAGCAACTGATATTTGAGGGAAACACCTGATGTGTTTTTTGCTGAGGGTAAAGTCTTAACTCCTAACTGTTACTAGAAAGAAATATGATTTTCCCTTACTTCCGGGTTTGCTTAACTCTAGAAATGCAAAACAATTGAAACTATATTGACTGAGAATGTGGGACCCGGCTTTTTAAGAAAAAAACATTATACAAAAGTGAGTGAGATAAAAAGAAGGGATTTTAAACTACTTAACTAAGAGAGACTTCCAATGTATGGCATAACTGGGGCTGTTACTCAATATATCGAAATCCGTATTTTTCTTTCTTATATGCGATATTTTATTCAAGAGTGTATGAGACAAACGAAAGATAGACTGAGCAAAACTACTCGATAATACTGCTAACAGGTAAATCTTCAAGTAGCTGCTCCTTTGGATCCTAGCCTACTAAGCAGCCTGCATCTTGGGCTTGAAGGCGAGCACCAGTACTTAAATGCTGGCCTTGCAATTGCACTTTGCTCAACTTGGCTTCAAAAGACTGGTCGCGTTGGAATCAATTACCTAAACCAAACTGTAAGCTCTAATCTAACAGTGTTTACATGAATACGCCATCACTGTATTTTCTCAATCATTTTCTCTGTTTCTGGCATGGAAGTAGACCTCTTTGCCTGAAGAATTCATCAAAGGGCTTGCCACCGCTTCTTTGCAAGGACGTGCTCAGATTGTCTCTGATGAGTTCATTGAGAATGATAACCCAGGCGATCTCGTGTTCTACTTGGACGGTGCCCATAGTCCTGAAAGCATGGATGTGTGTGCGAATTGGTTTTCCATTGCAACAAAAGAAGGCTATATTGTTCCAAATAACCAGACTTACAATGACTCTAAAGCATTGCATGAATCGGGACAGAATGCGCCATTCAGAAAAAAATCCACTCAGGTATTGTCTGCTATAAAAAATAATTATCATCTTTTTAGATATTTATCAGTATTATTATTGGTATGGTCTTCTAGAGATGCTTTGTGGAAAACTGAATAGAGTAAGTTAGTTATCATAAAAAATTGGTAGTGTTGTCAATTTCTGGAAGCTGTTATAGCAATTGTTCTTTTGATCAAAGAATTCTTAACAGAATTTTCCTATTGGTTTTGGCGGATGAACAGTCATGGAGTTATCCCTTGCAAATCTCCCTTTCTTTATCTTAGATTCTTTGTTTTACCTGGGCTTTTATGAAACTCTTTTCAGTCGAAAAGGTCTATTCATTTGATTCCTTCTCTTTTGAAGAGAAAACAAACCTCAAATCCTCTAGCAAAACAAAATCCCAAAAGGCAGCCAAAGTTGGAATTTGACAACAACCTTTTACTAATTGCTGTCGTAGATAGTCGCACAAAATTTTATTCTGTCTGCTATGACAAAGTATGTTTGTTATTGAACAACACATATCTTCTCAGCTACATTCAGTGACAGATGGCAGTGATTTCTTGTTCGTTGATGCATTAATCTTAAATTTGTATTGTTAAATCACCAGCTTCAGCTAAGAGAAAGTTGAATTGACAGAAAGGTTGTAATTTTGAAATAGTTAGAAGGTAGTTGATTACCAATATATCTATGTTCATGAACTTGGTGGGGTTTTTGTATCCAGCAAGCCTTGAAAATTAGACCATCTCAGTGACCAACGATCTATGTCTCAACAAAACAAATTTTATGGACACTGAATTTTGTATTTCTGTGTTAAATTTGCTTTGTCTTCGTTTAATCTGTTTCTTCATTTGTTGATATATTCATTAATGGATGCTGATGAGTTTAATTTTTTTGGCAAATGTGCAGATTTTGTTGTTCAATTGTATGTCAGTGAGAGACCCTCAGTTGCTTCTTCCACGCTTAGTGAATGCATGTGCCAGTCATGGTAAATAGCAAGTTTGCCGAGCTACAAGTTTATTTGTTGCAATATGAAGTTATCAATTAGAAAAATGCAAACTTTTGTTAGGCCATCCTTGATATTTTAAATCAATATTTCCAACATGGGTTTCACCCCTCACAAAGAAGAGAAAAAAGATTAAAAAAGGAAAAACGTAAATCAGCCATTTTAATGATTTCTTGCATCAAAATGTCAGGCGTCCACTTCAATAAGGCGTTGTTCGTTCCGAATACATCAGTGTATTACAAGGTCGGTAGTGTCGCACCACCTGCAGCTGATGCTCAAGTTGATTTGTCATGGCAGATCGCTCTCCAAAGAATATGGGAAAACCTTGTTATTGCCGAAAAAGGTATTTTCGAATGTCAGCCCTATGTTTTATTCATTTAGGAATCCTCTTTTTCACGGAGCTTTGCAGATCAAACTTTAAAGAACTGCAGTTTAAGCAGTCTTCTTCATTACTGCCCCGTCTGTGTCATTTTTGTCATGGTTGATTTTTTCTTTTCCTTTTGTTAAAACGAACCAATTCGTGCTGGTTCATTTTAACAACTCCGGGCCAAGCAAAAAATGGAAAATTAGTATAGATGAGTTCAATAGTAAGATAAAGTGTTCGAGCAACTTGTTCGACCGAAAAAACTGAACTTTATGTTTTCTACGCCATAAACCTAAAGAATTTGCTAATAAGTTGGTGCATTAATTGGTAGTGAGATGTTGTAGGACCGGTCCAGTCATAATAACCTAAACGATAACCATTCTTTTTCATCTTAATTCCATACCCTAAAAAAGAATGAAGTCCTTTTTTGCATTATATCATCAATTTGTAGAAAATCAATGACCAAATAGAGGTTTTTGTGCTCAAATTTTACAGGGAGAGATGCAAAGAATGCAGAGTTAACGACTTGTGAAGCAGTTAATGATGATACAGAGAAAGGTGCTAACGGTTCTGCAAACAGCACAGTTTTCACTTCGCTTCCTCTAGCTATTAACTGGCTTAGAGACAGCGCCCGCAAAAACCAATCGGTTCGATTTCAGGTAAACAAACTCTTCATTGCAAAATGTGAAAAATTGTTGAGCTTTTATTTTTCCTTTTGTCATTCGGTCATATTAATCTTTTTAGTTGTTTCTTGTCGGGTTTGCTTTATCAGGTTTTAGTGACGGGTTCTTTACATCTAGTGGGCGATGTATTGCGACTAATCAAGAAGTAACATACATGCTAGGATCATTAGACTCTAATCGATCTTTTCTGCATTTGGTTTGTTAATTGCAACTTGTGTTCATGATTTTATCAAGGCAACAAGGACAAGGTACCTTCTCCGTAGAGTTTTACATATGTTCTATTTACTAACATTGCGTAGAAACAACGGAATGCTGATCTGCACCATTTTGAAGAATTTATTGTTTATGTTAGAGATGGTCAGTTGGTGGTTATTTTTATTGCTTTTTCGCCCCCTTGTTTCTGTTGTTTTGTTCCACGATTTACCAGTGTTAAGAGTCCAAGAATTTGAGACATTATTTGTTTCGATTTGTACATGTTTCCTACCAATATTTTGAAAATCGGACAGGATATTGACCCAGACAAGCTATGGGGTCACGGTTGGACCTGTTCAACCGGGGTCCAACCGGTTTTATACATAATGTTCAACGAGAGAAGAGAGAGAGAGAAGATCAGAAACTAGGGCAAAAGAGAGAGGTGAAGCTTAAGTACCTCAAATGAGTAGACCGGATCAAAGTAAGAATTAACGGTCTAAATTGAAGATTTAGAGAGTTCTCAAGCTTTGACAAAGACCGGGGATTTAGTGCACTTGAATTGATTTCTTTGTTGGACCGCCTCATGGGACAAATAGGTTAATGGCTAGATTGAATGATCCGTTAGGCCCAAAACCTAACAAATCTCCACATAGGACCAAGTGGATTATCGAGAATTTATAGATGGGAATTATCATCGCCTTTCTTAATATGTTTGCACCTACACACAGTTATACTTCATTCATATTTGGGTTTGTAGTCACAAAGAAAAAAAAAGGTAATTACGCAGAGTCATGCATTTCACACAAAAAATAAATAACAGTTGCAGTCACAAAGACTACAAATCATCACAGGTTGCTAAGTGCCACGGAAAAATTCAGAATCTTCAAAGATGAACGCAATTTCTTCACAGGGAGGTACTTGGTGCCCATATGAGCTGGATTGAACTCATATGTAATTTTTTCAAGATCAACTTAACATTTTTCAACAGTATTTCATATAAACTGAATATTCTCAATATGTTTAGTTCTACCATGAAAAACATGATTTTTACACAATTGAGTTACATATTGACTATCACAAAAAACTAATACATGTTTACTTAGAAATTCAATTTCAGAAATTAAACCTTTCAACCAAGTTGATTCTTTCAAAGCTTCAAATGCATTAATATTCAGATTCAGTTGTAGATACAACACAATATTTTTCAATTGATATTTTCATCTTATACAAGAACCACACATAGTTAAAACACAAGCGGTAGTATATTTTGTGTTATCTCTATCGTTAGCAAAATTGGAATCAACATAACTACAAAGTTCAACACCATATAAGCCCTTATCAAACCGAATACTACTTTTCAAAGAACCTTTCAAAAATCTGTGAAGCCATTTCAGGCCCTCCCAATAAGGCATTCCAGGATTAAAAATATATCTACTTAAACAACTCACATAATATGCATTATCAGGCCTAGAGCTAACTATAGGATATATCACAGAACCGATAGCATTAGCATAAGACCCATAATTCATTCCAGGATCAGTTTCGGTAACTGATCCTTACTTAGCAAAAAGTGAGAGGCAAGATGACCAACCACATATTTGAAATTTAACATAGAATATTTTCAGCATAAGGGGATTGATTCAGAAACAATATATATATAGTACTATTCAATGTCCATTCCTAAAATCCTTCTAGCATCACTAAGTTATTTCATCTCAAATTCATCACTTAAACACTTTTTAACATGCTCAATAGTTCTCAAACAAGGACTAGTAACATGCCATCCACATAAAATCAACAGAAACACATGTACTTGCACATTCAATTTAACATATAGACAATGATGATATTAACTCTTATTGAACATTAAAGACATATATAAGTATCAAACATTTCCATTGTCTAGAAGACTATTCAAATTGTACAAGGGTTTTTTTTTTTCAAAGAACAAACATAATCAGGGTGTTTTTTTATCAACAAAACCATCATGTTGTCTCATAAAGATTTGCCTATCATGTTCGCCATGTAAAAAAAAACAGTTCTTACATCCATTTGTTTTAATTCCCAGTTAAAGCAAGCATAATTCTAACAATGGTAAACTTGACAACATGAGCAAATATCTCAGTGTAATCAATTCCCTCGTTTTGAGAAAAAACCTTAGCAACAAGTCTAACTTTATCTCTAATAGAATCAGACTCATATTTGACTTTAAATAGCCATTTGCAATCAACAACAAAAAATGAAGCAGGTTTAGGTACAAGAATCTAAATATAATTATCATGCAGATATTCCATTTCATCATGCATAGCAAACAACCAATTAATAGATTCTTTAAGTTTAAAGTTTCATTATAAGACTTAGGTTTATGTTCATCTAAGGTATCAAACTCATTGAATATAAAAGATGCAAAATCATCAAGATTCTAAGGTCTTCTAACTCTCCTAGGTCTATCCCTAGACAATTGATAATCATGGAAGTTAAGCACATTTGATTCAACATTTTGATCATAACCAGATTCAGAAGGCATAGAAGGTTCACTTTTAATATGAGAAACAACATTTAGATCTCACACAGTTGAAGAAGATTGAGTTTCCATCACATCAGAGGAAGACTCAACAACAACCCCATTTAGAGCAGGTAAACAAGGGAATTTATTTTCATTGAATATAACATCTCTACTGGTAATGGTTCTATATACATGTTCACCATTTAACCAACATATAAACCCCTTCACCCTTTCATTATAACCCAAAAATACACATTTTGCAAATCTATGTTCAAGTTTGTCATGCTTTTGATGCACAAATGCAAAACAACCAAACACTCTCAAGTTGGACAAGTTAATAAGTTCACTACACCATATAGTTTCAGGAAAATTTCCACTTAATGTCACAAATGGAGATCTATTATAACCCATGCAACAATTAAGAGGGCTTCACGGCAATATAATTTTGGCAAACTAGAAGAGTTTAACATATCAATAAAATCATGATTATAAATTCTATGCAACACCATTTTGCTGAGAGTTACTGTATGCAACAACTGTCTCTTAATGCCAAATTCTGTGCACATATCATAAAATTCATGATTACAAATCTCAATTCTATTATCAGTTCTAAAAGCCTTTATTTTCTTACCATTTTGGTTCTCATAAATTCTTTTTTATGCTCTAAATTTTTCAAAAACATCAGACTTATATTTAACAATAACACAAATACTTTCCTAGGGTAATCATCAATCACAGAGAGAAAATAATTATTCCCACCATGAGCAGAAACAGGTGTAGGACCCAATACACCAACATGCAAATATTCAAGTATTTCAGAGCATTTAAAGGAATGGTGGAAGTGGATGTGGAAAACTGGGTCTTAGTCTGTTTCCCATGATGCAACATACAAGCAGATCACAAACAAAACATTTACCAAGATAATTGTTTTAGTAGAAAATTTATAGTCATTTTTCACTAATATGACCTAATCTCTTATGCCACAAGTCAATTTCATCGTACTGGACATAATTCACAAAAGCCGCAGATATAGGAATAACAACATACATATTATGCATTTTTATAGCTTTAAAATCTAACAAGCTACCCCTCATAATGTTCATAACCCTATTGCCTTATCTACCCTGAAAACCATAATCTTCTAGAATGGCACATGACATCAAATTACCACTTAATTAACTTGTCTCACTTTTTCGAAAGGTGACTCATAACCAGTATCAAATTTAAGATATACAGTTCATATACCATGTATATGCATTTTAGTACTATCAATCATTGATACATAAGCTCTATCAAATTCAACGTATGATGAAAATATGGATTTGTTTGGTGTCATGTGATATGTACATAATCAAGTAACCAATCATCTTCATTCATAAAAGAGAGCACATAATTCACATAGGCAAACTCAGAATTCGTAATCATAAGCACATTACCCATTTAGGTCACTTAATTTAGCATGTTCAGCGTTATGATCTTTCTTAGGCTTAGTACATTCGTTTGGATAGTGACTAGATACATTACAATTATAGCCCCTTTTGTTTTTAGGCTTGGACTTAGGCCTACTCCTTCCTCTACCTTTTTGTTTATTTTGAAAACCAGGTTTCAGATTGTTAAAACTAGTAGAAGATTTTTCACAATTTTTAAATCTTTGCCTAACCTCATAAAGTTTATTTCACCAAAAGATTTTGACCATTTATGCTTATCGGTTTCTAAAAAAAAGTTCATTTCACCAAAAGATTTTGACCATTTATACTTATCGGTTTCTAAAAAATGAAAACGCTATAAAGAGGGGTTATCGGTTTCTAAAACAAAGTTCATTCACCAGAAGATTTTGACCATTTATACTTGACGATTTCTGTAAAATGAAAATGTTTCAAAATTTTTAAATCTTTGCTTTTATTTGACCAAAAGATTTTGACCATTTATGCTTATCGGTTTCTAAAAAAAAGTTCATTTCACCAAAAGATTTTGACCATTTATACTTATTGGTTTCTATAAAATGAAAACGCTACTATAAGGAGGGGTTATCGGTTTCTAAAAAAAAGTTTATTTCACCAAATGATTTTGACCATTTATACTTATCGGTTCTATAAAATGAAAACGCTACTATAAGGAGGGGTTATCGGTTTCTAAAAAAAAGTTTATTTCACCAAATGATTTTGACCATTTATACTTATCGGTTTCTATAAAATGAAAACGCTACTATAAGGAGGGGTTATCGGTTTCTAAAAAAAGTTTATTTCACCAAATGATTTTGACCATTTATACTTATCGGTTTGTATAAAATGAAAACGCTACTATACGGAGGGGTTATCGATTTCTAAAAAACGAAAATCGCTAGAAGGAGGGGTCGAACCTCCGACCTTGTGGTTAACAGCCACACGCTCTAACCAACTGAGCTATTCCAGCCAATTTGTTATAAATGTGGAATTTTAACATTATATTTCTTTTCAATGTCTGATGATTTTTAATATATAATTTACAATCTTATATTAATTTCCTTATGTGTTATTTATACTACCAAAAAAAAAATTCATTTCCATACTTAATGGCAGATTTAACATCAGTGTAAAAATCAGGGATAAAATAAAATAAAATAAAAAACAATTTGTGTTTAGTCCTTTTTTCCATAATCTATTGAATTTTGTGCGATTGCTATAGATTCAATAACTACAATGTTGTTGATTCTGGGATTTTCCATTTGCAGGTAATTCCATGTTTAGAGATGCTATATAGAAGGTCAATGTTTGACATGTGACGCCAGTAGAAATGACATCTCCACCTTGGGTTGGCATGGGTCAGGTATGAGTAATTATCGGCCAATTATCTACCCGACTCAACCACTTGATTTTGCCGAAAACTGAAAACTATTATCGGTCCGACCATTATGGGTCGGATAATGGTTGGCAACCGACTTTGTCGGCTAAACAATGAGTGGTTGGTTGGTAATATTGGCCATTTATTTATTATTTTTTTTATTTTTTTAATCTTTTTTACAATAATAAGATGTTTTCAAAAAAAAAAAACAAAAGATATTCAAATTTTTGGGAAAACTTATATTGTAAAAATCTTAACTTTAAAATTAAGAGTTTTTTTTTTTATTAAACTTCTATTATAAGTAAATATATAATGAAAAATATGAAACAAGAATTATAAAATACAAACAGTACGAGAGGTTTATAAATTTGTGTTATGAGTTTTTGAGTTTTAACGTTTTTTATATATTATATTTTATCATTAAAAAAATAGAAATTACAATTAAATTTTTATAATAAAAAAAATTATTAAAAGAAGTCGGTAGGCTAATAATATCGGCCAACAGATTATTGAGTATACTGAATCCACCGATCGGCCCATGTATATATGGGTCGGTTAATATTACCGGTCCGATAACAAAATTATCAGCCGAAAAAATTATCGGCCGAAAGAAGCTGGTCGAAAGTGGGTCGGTTGGCCGATAAAACCAACCCATGCCCGGCCCTATCTCCACCTATTCCCTAGAATATTTTATCACACATGATTAAGTTTCATTGTTTTACTAGATTAAATATATTTTGAGATCGACTGGACTCGATTTCTTATCAAATTAGGCTTAAAATAAGTTTTAATATTCGAAATCAAACAAACTTGAATAACAATGGGTTCGGCTCGACTCAATTTGGCTACAAGTCTAGTTATGTTGTTACACGAATTTGTCATATGGGGGAAAAATTATCGACCTCTTACACGACTCTATATAATACATATGAAGCGTTACTTCTTACACGTTCAAGGGAGCACTATTGACTGGAATGTCAAAACCATCATTCCGGATATCAAAAAATTCTGGGGTCTTTGGCCAAAATGGCGCTTAAAGTTTATTTCAAGAAACGCCAATTTCGCCTCACATAATCTTGCAGCATGGGCTTTCTCTTCTTTTTGGACCGGTTTTATTCCTCTTAATGTTTTGCCTGTTTCTTGTTTTCGCGACGGTGGCTATCCCATCGTCGACTGTTGTACTTTTTCTTTCCCGTATTAATATATTTGAATTATCAAAAAAAAAAAAAAAAGGGGGCAAAATGGCTTCAAATTTTGATATTTGCATTTCATATACACAAGAATCAAGTGAAAATATAACTAATCAATTACCATAGAACAGATTCATGGCTTATATATATATATATATATATATATATATATATATATATATATATATTATATATATATATTAGAGATAAAAAAAAAGGAATCTCGTAACACGTTTTCGATCAGATACGACAAATTAAACCGATCATTCAATGACATGATCGATCTCTACCTAGAAAACGGTATTTTAGCTAATATGAAAAACACACAATAATTCTTAGAGGCTCTCCAAGTAGAGTTGGAATTTGGACATAATAAATTGGCTGTTTTTTAGGTGGTTTCAGTATAATAACATGGTTTCAAATAGTTATTTTTTTTTATCTACATGGAAAAGAAAACCCCATCACAAATTACAGCCTTAAGCTTAATTCCATGAGAATAAGCACCAAAACAAACTCGAATTTAAGCAAAAACTAAATCTATCTTAAGACAGGTTCTTGTTCCATGTTTAAAACAGCTGCATCTGTAACTTGTTCTAATCAATGGGTGGCACCTGCAGCATCAAGCAACACAACAGAGTTAAAGATGGAGCATGCTTTCCGTGTATATTTGGATTACGTTAATAACAAGCCAAGTTAGAAATATATAAACTTTGAACAAATTGTCGAAATGAGCATACAAAGGAGCTGAAAGCCAAACAAAGAGGCAAATAAGATAAACAAACTGATTGAAGTCAAACGAGAGGGAGGGAGGGAGGGAGAGGGATGGAGGGAGAGAGAGAGAGAGGGGGGGGGGGGGGATTGTAAAGGCAAAAGAAGCAAAAAACTAAACTAATAGTAGAATCAACGGAACTGATACGATACATAAGTTCTTAAGAGGTAATCTTCAATGTCAAGTAATTGCAAAACAAGTGTTGGCCCCCACTTTTTCATGATAACTAAATTAGTTTTACACGCTGTTTCGAAAAGCTTATGGAAAAAAAAATGAGTCAACTTGCAGTGAAATTGCAATCATGAATAAGCAAATACACAGTTACAGATCAAACAGTTAGATTAATGGGTAAAAATTATCAAAGAACCAATTATAAACGACAGTAATTAATTTCAGAACCATTTCTTTCTTGCTTTCATGCTACGCGTCTCGTTATTGGTTTTTACTGCAAACAGGAGGATTGTGGACGCTCCTCACATTTATGTGAAATACGTGATATCCGTTACACTTGAGAAAAAATAAAATACATTACTCTTTAATTTCTATTGGTCAACAAACCTGCAACGAAATTCAAAGAGTGATAAGATATATAAGATATATATATATATTGATCATAGTAATCATTCAACAAGTTATCCTCTCTTTTGTTTACTTTGGATTGAACCAATCACCATTTGAGTATACTCGAATTATAGCGAATTCCACAAGGAAAAATTATTTTACATTTGATTAATAGATTTTGGAAAGGAAATCACTTGCTCCCAAGGATAGGTTTAATCGAACTGGTCCCGGGAGATGGATCAAATTAAGACTCGACAAGCAATTGATTTGATAAGATTATAATATTACGGATACATAAAGAGATATTGAAGATATGTGTAATCAAAATACACATGCCCACCTTGCAGATTCGTTAACTAAAGAAGAACTATAGTACTACACAGTTTTTAAGACATTTTTCCGTGACATTTCCTTTAGCAGCAATTTCGAAACTTCACTTTTTGGCAATACTACAACTTCTGTTTTCTCTCTCTTTAATTATATGGAACTTTGTTCGTAGGTTGTGACAAGTCAAGCAAAGCTAGGAAAGAGGCCTCGTTGAATTTTATTTATTACCCCTTATATTAATTAAGGATTAAAAAAAAAAAAAAAAAAACCATTAAGCAACAACTTGAGCTGACCTTGGAAATTACGGAGCAGTGCCACATCACATCCTAGTGGCCATCATGAACTTGTTTTTCCTTTCAGCTGGCTTCAGAATTTGAAACGAGCACATCAAGTTCTCATCCACACTCATCAAAGCACCAGCATTGTCGAATTCCCCACAGTAGTTTGGTGCCGAAAATATCGTAACAAGCTGCCTTTCCGCAAAGAATTCATACCCATCCTCCACAACCTGCATAAATATACCACAATTAGATTATTCAAATAATAAAATAATAATATTAAAAAAATAATCTTTACCTGATGAGCACGACAAACGAGGTCCAAATCATGCTTGGTCAAGAACTCCGAAACTTTATCAGGTCCAAAAGTAAACGAAACTCCTCTATCATTCATCCCCCATCCTTTAACATCTTTACCGGGGTCCGCCCACAGTAAATCACAAAGCAAGCCGGTGTCCGGTATAGCAGTGGGTCGAGGCAAACTTCTAATCTGATCGAGGTTATTCAGTTCGGGTGAAAGTCCGCCATGCATGCATAATATCTTTTCGTCAACTAGTGCGGCGACAGGGAGGCAGTTAAATGAGTCGGTGAATGATTTCCATAGTTTGACATTGAAGCGGCGTTTGCATTCGTCGTAGAATCCGTAGATCCTGTTTATAGAAGCGCATTCGTGGTTTCCTCTTAGAAGGAAGAAGTTTTCGGGGTATTTGATTTTGTACGCGAGTAATAAGCATATTGTCTCGAGGCTCTGTTTTCCACGATCGACGTAGTCGCCCAAGAATAGGTAGTTGGATTTTGGAGGGAAACCGCCGTACTCGAAAAGCCTTAAGAGATCACTGTATTGCCCATGAATATCGCCTGAAATAATTAAAAAAAAAAATTGATATGGTTAGTTTATCGGAACCAATACGGTGACAGTTTACACTGATTCGACACCAGCATGTCTTTCAAGCAAGGTAGTCAAAATCGGGATTTTAAGTTGAATCGGATCGTAAAATTGTACGACTTCACATATATTGTGTGTGTGTCTATATATATATATATATATATATATATATATATATATATATATATATATATATATATATATATATATATATATATATATATATATATATATATATATATATATATATATATATATATATATATATATATATATATATATATATATATATATATATATATATATATATATATATATATATATATATATATATATATATATATTAAAAATATATATATATATATATATAAAT